AATTTATTGTAAAGACCAGTTGAAAAGGGGTTGACTCATCAGATTGATACAAAGCTAAAAAAAATAAATAACTAACAAGAAGACCTATATAACCGAATTTAAACCGATTTACTCTATAAACATTTTTCGCAGGAACTATGTACCCTTACAAACTAATGATACCTGCTCAAGTAGGATATAGGCACAATTAGTTCCGGTATAATAAAGATTCAGTGGACTCTAAAACGTGTTTGGTTGATTTATCTCACGGGACAATTAATGAAAGATTTATCACACCTTTTTTCTCAAACACAATCAAACAAATAGAGAGTAAATAAATGACATCTCTTTTGAAAAATGTATTCATAAAAAAAGTTTACCGAAATTAGTACAGGCAAAAACGCAAGTGATTTAGAAATTAAGATCTTTCCAGAGGTTAACTTTGCCACGCACACACAGACAAATGTAACCCTTTTAAAAATATCATATTGACCTTTCTAATGTTCCACTTTTTTTACCCCAATACAATATACGCAGAGTAATATTTTGAATGGATGATATTACAAATAAAAAATTCAATTTTCAACATAATTAGCTATAAAACGGCAAGCTTTTTAGAAAAGCTACATGTATTACTTGTCACATTTTCTGTATGTTCGAAGTTTCGGAAAGTTCGCTAAACCTTTCTCCCAATCTGCGGAGAGGTTATCTTTTAGTACTGTACATATATGTAGGACTCGAAGGTGCGTTGGGGACGCTGAAGTGCGATTCTCTTCGCCGAAGTATGATGGTCCTTTCGCTGATGTGCGATGGTCTATAAGACGCGTGATGTCCAGTTTAAAATCTACAGCTGTGTATTTATTATGATAAGTAGATTTTATATAAGTTAGTATATAATTTTGCATCCATTCTTGTCAATATTTATTGTTTTTTGGTATCCATGTAATGTATGTGTTTGGTTGAAATAAAAGAATCGTAAAAAGAATCATCTGTCAGTTCCCTTCTTATATTAAAGTTTCATCAATACCTTTAATTTATACCTCTTTAAACGGTATTTGGAACATTTAAAATACAAGAATATATTTCATATTATGTGTGTCTTTAGTTTCATACTAAATGAGAGATCGTCCTGCATACTCTGGATGATTTACTTAACAACGTGAAATTCTGATTATAACAAACAAGTTGCATTGACTTGTGAACATGAAAAACATTAAATATATACTTAATGTAATCCATCGCACTTCAGCGTTACCATCAACGCACTTCGGCGTAGCTATCAACAAGATCGAGTCACACTGCAGCGTGATCAAAAACGCAGTTCAGCGTCAAACCATCGCACTTCAGTGTGACAATCGCGGTTCAAAGTCCTGCATATATAATAAAAAAAAAAGTCATGTTTGGTATGTGTTGTCTCGCGTATTAATATTTTTCAATCTGCTTTACATTGATGATTTCGACGTATATCACGATTGGTTTTCCAGATTATTATAATTAATTGCATTATATTTGAATAGACTTTGCAAGCAAGTTAATACAGACAAGACGAATTATTGTCATTTGGAAACTTTTATTGCGTAAAAAAGAAGAATTAGTTCTGTCTATAAAACATTTTTTTCAGGATACATGTAGTCTGTACTTCGTATTATTCGTCCCATGTACAAGAGAAAAAGGCTGATATTTAAACAGTGAATCGTCTCTTATATTTAGAAAATTTGTTTATTACGAAATTCCAGTACCTACAGGTACCTCTATATTTTCTAAGCCGATTTAGTACCTCTATCTTTTTTAATCATAAAAGCCAATTTACTTCTTTTAAAGTCAGTCTACGTTTTCTAAAGGGTGTTAATAAATAATAAGCTATTATCGTCCTTTTGTCATACGTACCTCTAGTAGTTTCACCCCAATGAAGACATGTGAACCAATTGATACAGCTTGTCCTAAATCATGAACCATAGGGATATCGGACCCATCATGCAAAAGGAATTTTAGCCCAGCGGAATTGTGGGGTCCAGGCATATACTCATTCTGTTCAGCATTTAGTTTTAACCGTAAACCATTCTCCACACCTAAAATAAAATTATTCAAACTCCTTTCTTTGATATTTCTTGACCCTTGCTTACCATTGACCAAAATCGTATTCGTTTCATTTAGGTCTATAATGTGAAGAATTAGTAAAGCTCCTAGCAATCAGGGCCATCATCAACAAAATTGTTGAGTAAATAACTGCTGAAAACCGTCGTTGAAAACAATTTGGTAGATCCTAATATACACAGAGAAAAAAGTTAAGCACCCCCCCCCCCTTTTTTTCCCGAATTGACAAATATTACGATAAGGGTCATGGGATCCCGGAACAAATGGTGGCAAAAGAGTAATGCAGCCTGTTAGGACATACCATTAGCTTTTAAAAAAACACAACAAATTGCAACAAAAATGATAATTTAATGAATAGATTGTCACAGAACCACAAGCCCAGTTTAAACATTAAAACATGTCCATTTTAAGTATGGACCTTCTGAGTTCGTTTTGCATGATACTATTGTCATTTCACTTAGAAAACGTCCATTATAAGTCTGTTAACGATATCCATAGTTCAATATTCGATATCGGGTGAAACCACCACGTGATTGGATGCAGGCCTCAACCCTGCGTCTCATCCCTCCAGTTAGTAGTCGGATTTCCTGCTGTGGTATTTGCCGCCATTCCCGGTGCAATGCTGCTTCCAACTGACGTAAATTTTGTACATGTGGTTCGGCTGCCTGTACCCGACGGCCTAACGTGTCCCAAATATGCTCTATCGGATTCAAATCCGTTCTCATGGTAGGCCATGGAAGAGTAGTTACTGCTTCGCCTTGAAGAAATGCGGTAACCGCCCTTGAACGATGCGGCCTAGCGTTGTCATCCATAAACATAGGTCTTGCAGCTAATGGGTGGTTATCAAAATGAGGTACAACTACTGGCTGAAGAACTTCTCTGATGTATTGATCACCATTAAGGTTTCCTCGTATAGTCACCAAGTCCAATTGGCAGTCATGAGAGATGCACCCCCATACCATCACAGAGCCTCCACCGTAAGGGACAGTTGGTTGGATGTTCCTTTGGGTATATGATGTTTTTTTTCTTTCTTTCTCCAAACTCTCAATCTTCTTTCTGTAACATGCAGAAGAAACCGGCTCTCGTCTGACCAATGGATCTTGCGCCAGTTCCTCAAGTTCCAACCACGACGAGCTAAGCACCATGCCAAACGCAGTTGTTGATGTCAGTCAGTTAACATGGGACGTCTTATTACCCTCCTTGACTTCAGTCCTGCTGATTTCAACCGGTTCCTCAAGGTTCTGGTTGATAGCTGTCTATAAGGTAACCATTTTCTTTTAAGAACAGGACTTGTTGCGAATGGCATTCGTCTAATAAGGCGTTGAAGTGCCCTGTCTTCACGTTGCGATGTCACCAGTTGTCTACCGGATCTTGGCAAGTCTTTCACGTTATTGGTTTGGATGTGTTTCCGCACAAGCCTGCTGACTACAGTATAATGGTAGCCCATTTGACGTCCAATAGCTTTATAAGATAATCCTGATGACCGCATGCCGATAATCTGCCATCTTTGAGCCTCCGATATTCGTCTTCGTACCATGTTCACAGAGTGTGAATAAAATTTTCAAATCGCCGGACTTAAATACTCAAATTTGAAGAGCGGGGAACTGCATTTTGTAATTTGCATGGGAGGCATGGTTCACGTGTATGATACGTCGATATCTTAATGACCGGTCACATCTGTATAGTCACATCTTTTTAAAGGAACATTGGTCTTGTTAAAATCAATATTTATATTCAAATTAACATTTTTGGTAAAAAACTATAATGCAATATATCAAGGGGTGCTTAACTTTTTTCTTTGTGTATATGTTATAGTCGTTACCACTACAATATTAAAATAACCGTAAAAAATCTTTAACTAAAAAAATAAATGATTGAAGTCGTAAGTTTGTGTCTGAAAAATATAATTTTCGTTTCGGAGAAAAAGTGTAATGTTATGAAATTGGTATTCTGACTGGGACTAGACTCCCCTGACCAGTGCTCGATAACCAGCTACAAAAATATTTTTTTTATGAAAATAAAACACTTTTGAATTAAAACATTTGTTGTTTTTTATACCTTCCAAGAGGCTTTACAAGAAATGCACATTTCGCATGCTCCTAACTTCACGTGAATATAGTAGCAGACGATAAATCGACAATGGTAAATCGAGTTTAAAAGATCGCTCTTGGAATCAAGTGTTAAACAAATCTGTAAGTAAATATTTACTAGTCATAAATAGCATGGATCAATAAAAAAAATATTCAGAATTCCAATGATGTGATTCCTACCGTAATATTCAATCCAGGGCATTCATAACATCATTTTTTGTCACAGTCGAGCCCCTTCAGATTTATCACTTGATCGTCGCCATTGTTATGTAAACAAAAAATTTTGGGTAAACTTGCTTGTCCTATTATGTGAATTCCGGTTTGTGTGTTTCACGTGTCAAAATGAAATTAAGCATACATTGAAATCAAAAGATTAGAAAAAAAATATTTATATATTTTTAATGAATTAAAATAAAATCAGAAAGGAAGTCGCCAATTTGACATACGCTTAATACATTATTAACATTGTAGGAAGATGCCAAGAGACCAAAAACTTCGAACCACTGAGGAATTTAAATTCGCCAAGTCTCTTCTTAAAGATGGCATGTCCCTTTTGAAAGTTTCAAAACAAACTGGCATCCCATATGCAACTTTACATGACCACTTACGTGGACGTTATGTTGGTAGAGATCCACCCTCTTCTTTTGGACCTACTAATGAACTTACCGTTTCCGAAGAAGAAAGCTTGATAAATTATATTGAGTATATGGCAGTTCGTGGTCTTCCCTTATCTCGCCAGAACTTGAAAAGATTTGTAATAGAAATTGTGAAAAAAGTGGAAGAAAAACGCTCTTCAATCTTGAAAATGGGCCGTCAGATAAATGGGTGACAAAATTTATGAAAAGACACAAGAATATAAGTCTAAGGAAGTCTCATCCTCTAGAAAAATGTAGGGCTGAAATATCTCAAAATCAAATCGATCAATACTACGATCTTCTTGAAAGTACATTGAAGAGATTAGATCTCATGAACGACCCGACCCGAATTTATAACTGTGACGAATCAGGATTTTCAGGTCGCCTAAATGGTACTAAGAAAGTAATTGTCCCAAAACACATTCGTCATCCAAACCAAACCCAGGTCAACATTTCTGGGCATATCACACTATTACTAGCTATTTCTGCTGCTGGACAAACACCCCCTCCACTTGTAATTTTCTCTGGAGCCTTGCCTAGGGATGACTACTCAACAGGTATACCAGCTTCATGGCTATTTGAAAAAACTGAAAGCGGATTTGTAAACAGTGACTTGTACATGAATTGGTTTAATAATGCATTTCTACCATCCATAGGAAGAAAACGTCCTGTTCTTTTGATTCTCGATAATCATGTCACCCATTTGTCTACGTACGCCATTGATGCAGCACGTGATAACGGTGTAGATTTGTTGTTTTTTCCATCACATTCGTCCCATTTACTTCAACCGCTTGATGTTGTCTATTTTCATGCATTAAAACAGAAAGTAGCTGATATGTCAGTTGAGTTAAATGGTGAATTTGAAATCATCCCTTTGTAAATTTTACGGACGCCATCACGAGTTTGTTGACCGTTATGGAATAACCGTTTCACAGATGATATCGGATATGTTCCTTATGTCGTAACTACAATACCCTTCCCTTTTCACGAATGTAACTTACCGAATTAGACTATATACCGGATTTGTAATAACATAAGCAACACGACGGGTGCCACATGTGGAGCAGGATCTGCTTACCCTTCCGGAACACCTGAGATCACCCCAATTTTTTGGTGGGGTTCGTGTTGCTTAGTCTTTAGTTTTCTATGATGTGTCATCTGTACTATTATTTGTCTGTTGGTCTTTTTATTTTTTGCCATGGCGTTGTCAGTTTGTTTTCGATCTTTGAGTTTGACTGTCCCTCTGGTATCTTTCGTCCCTCTTTTACAGAAAAGGAAAAAAAACGTTTAGATAGCTAAACTTGATCAAGCACACTGTCCTGTTAAAATTCTATGTGATTATTTAGATAAAGCTAAAATAGACAGGTCCTCAGATGATTTTGTGTTCGGAGCTTTATCTTATTGTAAAAGTACACACAACTGCAAGCTGAGAAAAAAGAATATAAAACTATCCTATACTAGGACTAGAGAGATTGTTATTGGAGCTCTATCAGAAATAGGTTTAGATCCAAAGATTTTTGGTACACCTAGTTTTAGGGCAGACGGTTGCTCAGCCGCTAGTAACTCTGGTGTCTCGGACAGATTATTAAAGATTCACGGAAGGTGGAAATCTGATATCGCGAAAGACAGTTACATAAGTGATAATTTGAAAAAACGCTTATTAGTTTCAAAATCTTTAGGTTTATAAGATTTATTAATGTAATTTCTTGCTTTGTACAATCGAGAATGGTCATCGTGCCTGACAAGTTTTAAAACTAGTGTTTTAGTTATTTTTATTATGAATGAGATAAGAAACAGATTGGGCAGACGGTATACAGAAATTATATAGTCTAGTATAAAAATAATGTATGTTCGTTTGAACGAAGGGAATTTAGAAAATAAATATATTTATGTACGTGGCGGAGAATTTTATCGTATGATAATTCTATTAATATATCAATAGAATTGTAACCGGTTTAATGAACCTGAGTGTATTTAACTTTGACATGAAAACTTCTATCCTAAATAAATGTTATAAATGAATAGTTCAAAACATTGTTTTGTAAGTCAATAATTTATAGCTCTGTTTCCTAACAGCAAGTTATTGCGTAATTGTAATTTGGATAATTTTTTCTAAAGCAATTACTTATCTGCTATTATTAAAGGGAAATAATTAACATTACTTTAAAAAAAAATTTTATTCGAGTCGTATTGATGAATCTTTTGTAGGCAAAATCATAAGCCTGGTATCTTTGATTAAATTTTTAATATACAATGACTCAATAAAATTAATTCCCTTTAATGCCAGCAGATCAGTAATTCTTATAGAAAATATTATCCAAATCACAATTACACAATAACTTCTTCTTAGAAAACAAAGCAATAATAAATAATTTACCTACAAAACAATGTTTTGAACTATTGATTTATAAAATTTATTTAGGATAGAAGTTTTCATGTTAAAGTTAGACCTTTTTAAACCAGTGACTCATATTATAGTAAGTCAGTATTTTGTTTGAAATTCATGACATAGATATCAACAAACTGGAGCTGGGTGGTAAGTATTTCCTTTTATTTCATACTAACATCCTTTCAAGCAATTTGTTTAAATAGATTACCAGTTTGTTGGAGAAGAATTCAAACTGCAATTTGGTAAACTGTTTTAGCCATTGCTATTGAGATACCCCAAATTCCACTGAATAAGCTCAGTAAAAGGCCACTTACAGGGTCCTTTAGAAGGTTTTCAAATTGTTTGTCATTTTCTCAACAAGGTCATTCAACATACATGTACTTATGCATCCCAAACGGCACGTGTCGTGTTGTTGGACGAGATAAGTCAATGATCTAAAAAAAAAATGCATCCAGTCAACTGTTCGGATATTTGAAAGACTTATTCTCCTTTTTTTTACAATCTACCAATGCTATGTACTAAAAGAAACTTGGTCTTTATATTTAATCAGATGTTTATACACATTTATCATTGTAATTTATAACAAAAATCACGACCCTTCTTTTGATTTCCTTTCCTTGAAGATGGTGTTCCGTTGGCGCCATCGTCTGCAGTGTACAGTTTTATATAATATGAAAATAAGGAGATGTGGTATGATTGAAATTTGGACAAATATCATTAGTTTTGAAAGATTACGGGTCACCGTATGGACTTCAACAATGAGCAAAACTCATACCATATTGAAAACAAATAAAGGCACCGGGTTAAAAAGAAAACCTGGAACAATTCAAAGGAAAATAAAAATACGCCCCATGCATGTACCGATACAAGGGTACATGCGGACACTGAAAGCTAGTTCAAAGTCCAATTTCATCTCGTAAATAAACAAACCCTGTTCTTCCAGAATTAATATTTGCTTGACATCTCAGATTTCAATGAACGCATTATATTTAATTTCTTAGCAATTTGTTTACAACAACAAATAATTAAGGTTCAAATTTATCATTTAATTTGTTGGAGTATAGAAGTATAATTCGGAACTCCAATTTTCCTTTTTGCATCAAAAGATTTATTAATAACAGTTACATTTAAACTTCATCAAGATTGAAATTATGTCACACAAGGCTTTGGGTATGTTATGTAATACTAAGCTTTGTGTATCTTAAACCTTGATTTTGAAATTTTAGGTTAAGATTTAATTTCTATTCACTATTTACTATTGGCTTCGCAATATTTAGTTCAAATCACGGTTACTATGTTTATAACAAAGTATTTACCTGGTGATGAAACTGACACATCTTTTTTATTCCATGTGTAACAGACTCCATGGTCTGTCAAACTCGTCTCAAAGTCTTCTGGTCCGCACTTATTACCTTTCCAAGTGCATCTACAATACATTAATGATTACAATCAACTATGGGAAAGCAACACGAAACCTTATACAGCGAATTAGTCTTGACATTTGTTTTTACTTTGCTACCAAAATTAATATTAGGTTTATAAGAAACCAAAATTGATCATTAAGACCAAAATGCTTGTTTTGAAGTTTTCGAAAATATCTTAATCTATTGATGTCTATTTACTTGCCGTCCAGAGGCAAATAGTTCAACCGTATTCGGGAGAATATCAATAAATCCAATATGTCGACCGCGATAGAAGGCGTGTTATAATAATCTATGAAAAGCCGCAGTTTCTGAATGTTACATGTATTTGTGAAGAACTTCTATTTGTTCAACGCGTAAACAATCTTTTAATAAGATGTTTGCATTTTGAATGGCTGCAGCTACGCTAGCGGTTTGACTTGTAAATTATTATCTGTAACATGAAACGAAATAGACAAAAACTGAATTCAACGAATTTTTCGTTAAATGTTGTTGTTCTTACTTTTTTTCTTGGAAAGGAAACGTTTGTGTAGACTTGCGTTTTAAGTGTAACTTCAAAAACAATGTGAACTGTACTTCAATATATAGAACTACTTTTGTGTATGGTCTGATTTTAAAATTGAATTGTATTATTGAATTATAAAATAATCTTATATTACTCAAAAATTAAATCTTCTTTTTGATGAGCTGACGAAAGATAAAGGTTTTCTAGTGATATGTTTCCTCCTTCTTTCAGTATGAATGTAGTATTTACTGTCCCATCAGACGTGTGCATGGCTTCTAATAGATGATACCGCCCAAGATCTGCAGCAAGACTTGCTCTGTTGATTGAAAAATAAGAACTAGTTAAATGCTTTTATTATATGCACAAAAGAAGGACGAAAGATACCAGAGAGATAGTCAAACTCATAGATCGAAAACAAACTGACAACGCCATGGCAAAAAATAAAAAGACAAACAGACAAATAATAGTACAGATGACACATCATAGAAAACTAAAGATAAAGCAACACGAACCCCACGAAAAACTGGGGGTGATCTCAGGTGCTCCGGAAGGGTAAGCAGATCCTGCTCCACATGTGGCACCCGTCGTGTTGCTTATGTTATTACAAATCCGGTAAATAGTCTTATTCGGTAGTTCACATTCGTGAAAAGGGAAGGGTATTGTAGTTTCGACATAAGGAACATATCCGATATCATCTGTGAAACGGTTATTCCATAACGGTCAACCAACTCGTGATGGCGTCCGTAAAATTTACGAAGGGATGATTTCAACTTCACCATTTGGAACTCTTGGTACAATAGCTTCCTTGTGAGCAGCAATCCTCTATCAAGGAAATCATGATAGGAAATAAAAGCCCGGGAATATCGTACAATGTAGTCATAAAGACATTCACACACCATTGAAGTAACAAGTAATACAGTTCCAAGATGGTCCATAGCTTCTAAAGTCGGTTCATTTTTAGATTTATACCTCGAATTTGATATAAGCATCTCAGTACCAGAATCTATGACAAACGAGACAATTTTAATTTTGAAATTATAAATTCCCCCCACCTTGGCAGCAATATACCAATTTCACCTGCATATGGGATATTCATTTCCCAACTCATTCGGTATTCAAGAGCTTGCGGCTGTTACTCAGACTTTATAAAACGTCACCAGTGTCTGAGCAGAAAGTTGATGAACCAGGAATATGTCAAAAAAAGTCTGGTTCATTTTCTAAAAAAGTTCATCGGAAGATACCAAGACATTCAGTATCAACTTCACAAATAATTATACATGATGGTCTTGAAGTATAGATTCTAGGTACTGACGTTGTTTGTCATCTTAATTACGTGTTATAGTGTTCTTTTTATTTGTCTTTGTATATTTCTAACCTTTACTGCTTAGTCCATTTTTGGTAATATTCTTTTGTCGTGGCTAGGTATTGAATGCATCTCGCCATTGTGTTATTGTGCCATGGTCATTTTTTGTATTCTTGCCTTTCATTTTTGTTTATGTGGTTTGTCTATAGAATGTCTATATGCCATTTTGTTTTTCTTTGTTGACATAATGAAAGGATGTTGACACAGATGATCCATTATTCAGGGAAATGATGACAGGTTTTCTGTTGCGGTTAGCTGCACGAACAAACAGTTACGCGTACCTCTAGGGTACGTGAACAAAGTGTTACGTGTACCTCTAGGGTACGTGAACAAAGTGTTACGTGTACATCTAGGGTACATGAACGACCTGTTACGCGTACCCCTACGGCCCTTCATATTTACCCCACGTCTCATTTTATTCAGACCGATATATTAGTGGCTAAACTTTTACCAGTTTATATATTAATATAACTACATGTTATATATTAAGCATATTTGTGAATATTACCCATTTTATTTTAAGGAGGTTCAGTCAAATTTATTTATTATTAACATAGATCTGTGCAATTACATATTTTTTTTATCAAAGTGTTAAGTGTAAACATTTGATATTTTTCATATGTCATTACTATTTGACAACAGTACCAATCATTTCACATATGTCATTACTATTTGACAACAGTATAGATCATTTCACATATGTCATTACTATTTGACAACAGTACCCATCATTTCACATATGTCATTATATAAATAACGCATAGCTGAGAGGGTGATAGAGCAGTGTTACCCCGAGAAAACATTGTCAACCGCGGCGAAGCCAAGGTTGACAATTCTTTTTCGAGGGGTACCAATCTGCTCTATCACCCTCTCAGCTATGTGTTATTTAATTTATTATGCTGATTGTCCTATCATTATTGTCTTTTACAGATGAATTTTATTTAAAAGTATTTTCTATGGCGTCACGTACATAACAACGTTACGGGTATTAGAAAAATCAACAGAAGTGAAGCAAGATGTTTTATTTCAAATAATAGAATCTGAGCCAAAACTTAGAACTTAAGCATTGTCTTTAATATCTTGATGTAAATTCAATTCATTGTCCTTTAAATTATCGATTTTTGATTGGTCTGGACGAGAGGATGACATTCAAAACAGATTTCACCCGCTCAGCCATGTGATAGAGTAAATTAACACCCTCGTATTAACCAATCAAAATATGGCATTTTAACATGAAGTATAATAATACTATTTGACAACAGTACCAATCATTTCACATATGCCATTACTATTTGACAACAGTACCAATCATTTCACATATGTCATTACTATTTGACAACAACACCCATCATTTCACATATGTCATTACTATTTGACACAACAACAGTACCGATCATTTCACATATGTCTTTACTATTTGACAACAGTACCAATCGTTTCACATATGTCATTACTATTTGACAACAGTACCGATCATTTCACACATGTCATTACTATTTGACAACAGTACCGATCATTTCACATATGTCATTACTATTTGACAACAGTACCAATCATTTCATGGTACGTGTCTCTGGAAGATCTTTCTTCGGGTACGCTTGAGACTAAACTTTGAGAGGCACAATATAAACACATATAAAGACATAAAAATCTAAAGAGCAAAACGGGCAAAATTATTTTAGGTAAATTTTATTTTAGGGTATTTCAACAAGCAAAGAGAACACCCTTGTTTTCATTCAAAACAAAAGACGATATAACACACCTATATATGTGCCTGTCCCAAGTCAGGAGCCTGTAGTTCATGTCTGTCATATTTGTTTTTCGTAAATTGTTTTGTTATAAATTATGCCGTTAGTTTTCTCATTTGAATTGTTTCATATTTTTCATGTCCTGGCCATTTATAGCTGACTATACGGTATGAGTTTTTCTAATTGTTGAAAGCCGCACGGTTGCCTATATTACTTACATCTACTTCATTTGAGTTTTCTTGGATAGTTGTCTCATTGACAATCATACCACATCTCATTACTTTTACAGTGTGGATTTAGGGAATCCTAATGTTTGAAAAGGAGCAAATCAGTCTTTTATATATTTGTAAATATTCATGTACATGTAATAAAAATGTTAACCTCAACAGAAAAGTAAGTTACTCACTTGAATGCATTCTGGTTACACAGAGTAATTGCAGGAAATTTTAATGTTTGGTTAAAATTCATTTTCATGTTAACAGTCATTGGCCAGCTATAGTAGTACAACAGACGGTCGACAATCTGGAACACTAGTAATCCAAAGAATAACAACATCAGGCATAACCATAATATTCTACAATAAATTGCAATACAATATGTACAAAAAGAAATGTGGTGTGTATGTCAATGAGACAAATCGCACGACAAAATCACAAAGGGTACATGTATTTCTTTGTTACTTAGAGTAAAACAAGAAAAGCGCTTGTTTTATTTTGTATGTTTGAAAAAAAAGATTAAAATGTTAAGTAACTATGGTTTCAACTCCCTCAGCCAAAGTTTACATTGGACGGTCCTTATTGGTCATCTAGCTCTTCAACTGTTTCGTTTTTATGCATCCTTGGCTTTCAAATGAGCTTTCCTGGTGAAGGTAAATAAAAAGAAGCGACTCGGACGCCTTGCCTTTATAAAATAAAGTGTTGTTTTTCGATTTCGGCTGCAATTTAGGAATAATATTGGCATTCAAATTTGCGACAAAGTTTATATACTGATCTATAATTACAATATGTTAAAAAGCTATATATTATCCTCCCTTCTATAAAGAGGAAACCTAGATATTCAATGACCGTGTGTGCATGTGCGTGTTTACACTAATGGAGGTCTCGGTTTTAAGGCGATAACAGGAGAAAAATAGGAAATAAATGGGTAAGTCTGCCTGTGGGAAAAATGTAGACCAACACGCATCAGAAGGAGAGA